TCCTCATAGAGCATTCAGTTATGTGGTTGTGGAAGAAGCGGATTTTGGGCGTAGCAGATCCTCTCGTAGGATTTAGGGGTAGTGTTTCATAGAACTGCTATCATTAGATAGTAGTTCTTGTCTGAAAGTAGAGTCAAAGGCTGAGAAAAATATTTTTATTCTTCAATAATCACCGGTAGCATTTTGCCTTGCAAGGCATAATGATTTCAGAGTTGTAAAACTTTTATTTGATTTAAGTAAGCATTTTCTTATCATTTTAAATACTTTTCACAAAGTCAGATGGCGCAGTTCTCCTTAAAACTCTCATGCGGTACGTAGGAGGGAGGAGAGTGTAATAATCCAAGGTCTGAAAAAAATATTTATTAACCTTAAGCAATTCAGGTCTAATGTGCCGTGGTGTAATCAGCTTGAAAGAGGTTTAGCAAACTGAGGGTTTATTGCCACACTGCTGAACGGGTACACTTTACAGCTGATCGCGATTTCTTCTTTACCCAACTGATGGATGACTCGTAATTAGCAGGAAGCAACCCTCGAACAGAAGTAAACGATCAAATCCAAAATCCATAATTAATTTTTGTCCTATGGTGGTAAGGCACTTGATATGACCGTCATACTTTTTGACCATGAGCGCTCATCAATGCCAGATTCATGGCTTAGCTTTATAAAAGATTCATATCTAATAGTGAGCTTTGGCGAGAAGTGATGAGTTCAAAATATCATTGTACTGGTCCGATGGGAAACAGGAAACAGTTCCAGCAGGGGACAACCGCGAATGGTATTCTTATTTGCTATAGTGTAACAAAAAACGGCTTCGTGATGATCATTATGCTACGAGTAACGTTTCTCATGTTAGAAAGTAGGAGGCAGGTTAATGGTTGGCTAGTGGCGAAGTCACCCATGAAACTCAGTCACCTCCCTTTCACGACACTGAAGATCATACGTGGATTAAACTCATGCGCATTCAGTTGTACAACGTGCCATCTCCTATATTTTTTAGTGTTTTGCTCTTGGATCCTTCTATGATAGACTGTGAAGGAATTCAAAAGACCACCTTCGCAGAAAAGGCGGATGGCAATATGCCGCGAAAGAATACTCGGCAGAAGACTGCATTTTCCAGTGATGAGCTCCATTAGCATACGGTACTTCTCGCCATGTTCTTTTCAGTACTACTCGCGTCATCCTGTAACGAGAAATTTGGTTACATTCCATGGAAGGTGTGAACTTCCTCGGTTTGGAAATCTTCGCTTGTTACTGCCTTGAGAGTTTCAGGAGATTTCTGCCTGGTAGGAAACGATTTTCCTCATCGTGTGGTCTGTTGATTGGAATTTGTTCGCTTGTCATATTCAGGTTGTGACGACTTTTCCCGTGCTTCAAGATTTGCTCAAGCAAATTTGACTGACTCGGTGACTATGTCCATTTCGATCCTTTTGCTGCGCGGGCCCTATGATCGTTCTCCAAATGCATCTCTTTTTCCGGCATTCTTTTTGCGGTTTATGCTGCTTGAATCTCAAGGGAGAAAGGCCATTCATCACGTATATTGATTAAATCAAAGTAAAGAGCACAGAATGCTTCGCGTGAGTACGATAAAGCACTCAGGCTATTTGACGACTACAATAAACGTTCAGTGACCAGATGCTGCATGCACCATTGGGGCCTCCTGCCGTTGCAGCGACGTATTACGTACTCGTCAGACAGGAAGAGTTCCAGTACAACCTGACGGCTAATAAAATAATGCGAAAATTATTATATATGATTAATAAAATCATTTATGATGGCTCGAATCATTGCGTTTGAAGTTCCTTCATATGGGAATGTTTTCTCCTCGCGGCGTCAACGACTGAGCAGTACGGAAAATCTTACGTTCCCTCTCTAGTTCTTTCATCCATGTATCCCTCACAGCAAAGTGTTT